TGGCCATGCCCGCCGCATTTTCCCAGGCAGAGGGACTCAGCGCCCGCGAGCCGCTGGTTCCCTTCCCCGGCCGCCTGCTTCAGCCCGTGGGACAGATCCTGCCTTCAGCGGACCCTAAGCAGCCTCCTCCGTTTCTATGAGAGTGGAGCTGTCGAGAGAACTTGGCTCCGGAATTGTTCGTACACGCTTCTACAGAGCTTTACTTATGCCCGCCGCATTTTCCCAGGCAGAGGGACTCAGCGCCCGCGAGCCGCTGGTTCCCTTCCCCGGCCGCCTGCTTCAGCCCGTGGGACAGATCCTGCCTTCAGCGGACCCTAAGCAGCCTCCTCCGTTTCTATGAGAGTGGAGCTGTCGAGAGAACTTGGCTCCGGAATTGTTCGTACACGCTTCTACAGAGCTTTACTTCGCCTTAGTAATGCGCACTCACTTATTTTGAGCCCTCTTGACATTTTTTCATATGAAAATATTTCCTATATTGTAATGCAAACAATTAATCATACGGACTTTCTTTTGTATTCCCAGAGTTAAGGTTGTTTGTGCCGCAGTTAAAAATGTAACACACTTCATTTCTCCAACACCTTTTTTTCTAACCCCAATTAGCCTTTCCAACACCTCCTACTTTATTTTTGGCAAAACAAAGCAAAACCAAAACACTTGTCTTTTATACATATGCTGCTGTGCTCTCAAGTACAGAAAATGCTTAAAGCAATAGAACCTGCAGAAAAATGTGTGAATGCAGCTATTTGTGGTTAAAATATTTTAACAGTACAGCCCGAAAAAGATCATCTGGAAATTTAGTGTTTCTCAGCCAAACTAGTTCAAACTTTTGCTGACTAACAAATCTCAATATCTAAAACATTTGTATCAGTCTTTGTTATGATATGAAGCATGGACCTTCTATGAACATGTGTTGTGAGAAATGATCTGTTTAGTCACTGATAAGCTTCAATAACCTTGCTAGCTGAACACTTATAACCAGACTCGATGCAAATGCAAAACAAAATCTTATCTTTAGTTGGACTCTTGTTTTTATTGAGCAACATCTCTAGTTTAAATCAATGGAGTATGGGGAGTATGAATAGAGTATGGGGAGATATGTGTTCAATTTCCAGCTCTGTGAGAGACTTCTTATGAAACTTTGGGCAAATCATTTGGGCCTTGATCCTCAAAAGTAGCTCCTACTTCCATATTTAAATCAATGGAAATTAGGAGCCTAAATACCTTTGAAGATCTTGCTCTGAGCATCTGTACTTCAATTCTCCATCTGTGAAACTGACATACTTTGGTGATGAGAACCATAGAAGTAACTAGATGTTAACACACAATCATGTTAATTAACATATGCTCACATGATATTATAGACATATTGCCTGTCTACAACTAGTGCCAATTCTGGGTTTTTGTTTCCCTCTTTCTCCAGAATCTCAGACTGCCCACTTATAGAGTCACAGGGAAGGTTATTAAGCACCAGATTTGATCTGATTGTTTTTTCTTATCCATTTGCAAAATTCACATAGACTGCGTCTAGACTGGCGTGATTTTGCGGAAATACTTTTAACGGAGAAGTTTTTCCATTAAAAATATTTCCACAAAAGCGCGTCTAGATTGTCACGGATGCTTTTGCGCAAAAAGTGATTTTGCGCAAAAGCATCCGTGGCCAGTCTAGACGTGATTTTGCGCAAGAAAGCCCCGATTGCCATTGTAGCCATCGGGGCTTTTTTGCGCAAAACAGTTCTTCCCTGTCTACACTGGCCCTCTTGCGCATGTATTCTTGCGCAAGAGGGCTTTTTCCCGAGCGGGAGCGTGAAAGTATTTGCGCAAGAAGCACTGATTTTGTACATTACAAAGTCAGTGCTCTTGCACAAATTCAAGTGGCCAGTGTAGACAGCTGGCAAGTTTTTGTGCAAAAGCAGCTGCTTTTGCTCAAAATCTTGCCAGTCTAGACGCACCCATAGTGTTTTGTTTATAGTATACATGATGGTGTATAGTGGTACAAGGGCTCTATTGGCATAGATTTGGGCTTAGTTATGGAGTTGTCCAGAAAGAATGCTCATAAGAATTACACGCTCTCATATGTATTGTTTGTTTTTAAAAGTGAGCATCAAATCTTTTTAAGTTCAACATTAATTTTATTGATACTAGTTTTTCCTATTTTTTTGCCAGCATTTTTTATCATTTCTTTATGCTACCCATCTCTTTGCTTTACCAATCTGTTGTCTCTAGCTTTATACTTGTATACCAAACTATTTGGGGTGGATACCATCTGTTTTGTTATGTCCCCAGAACAGTGGGGTGGTAATCCAGGTCTTGTGTCCCTAGGCACTGCTGTAGTACATATAGTTAATATCAATTTGAATATTCTTACTTACCATGTACAGCTTTTGAATGAAAGGGAAAAAAGAATATAACAGTTTTTGAGGTTTCTAAAATATTGAAAATACTCTTTTGTATAGGTTCAAAATCACCAAAAATTCATATATAAAATGAAATCACTAGAAAGCCTAGATATCATGGATTCATAGTTTGAGTAGTAACTGTGACCATCTTGTCTGACCTCCTGTATAACACAAGCCATAGAACTTACCTGAAATATTTCCTGCAGTATATTTGTTTAAAAAAAATTCAGTCTTGATTTTAATCCATTTTCTAATTCTCTCTACATGTTTCTAAAGCTTGTGGTTTGTTATTGTTCAGACTCAACCAGATTCTCAGTTGGTACAAATCAGTGTAGCTCAATTCAGAAAAGCATCGCTATAGAGTAGAGTCAAGGAAGAATTAAACACCACAGAAAAGATTTTAAACGGGAAAGAAAAGAAAGTCATAAGGATATGAGATTGGATGCTTAAATTCAGTTTCTGATGCTACCAAGCACAATTGAGTATATTTAATTCTTGATATTTATTATTTATTCTTGCTTAAAAGTTCTCTCAAATCTCCTGATATTTAGTAAACTCATCATTCATCCGTCTTAGCAGACTTTCAACAGAAATCTCATCCATATAAATGCTCTCTAAACTAGTTCTAGGGGTCCCAAGACTGAATGTTGCTGGCCACTTGTTGTGAGGTGCTGAGCACACTAGCCATGCTGATGTCAATAAGATCTCAGCTCAGCACTTGGCGAGACTGGGCCTCAAATGTTGGCTGAAGCATATTTTACCATCTCTGCAGTAATATTTTTCCTATACATAGCATTTCTAGTGCCATCAACGTCTTTTAAATTAAGACTTACAATTTGAATAAAACCACATCTAATAACAACGCAAAATTGTCTTGCTCCTATTATGACCAACATAGATCAGCTTTTCTTAAAATATGCCATCTAAACTACTCTGTTAATAATGAATTGGGAGGCTTTATTAGAAGCACTGAAATTTCCAGCAGGTATTAACCTTTAGGAAATCAGCTAATGCTAAAAGGAGTTAAAGAAATACTGGAGAAAATGATTAATCGTCTTTTCTGAAATACAGATAATACATATAAGTAGAACTAAAAGATATAATATTCTTTTCACTGTTTATGCTGTTTGCTTGCTTTTTTCCATTCTTTTCATTTTGGATAATATAAAGGAATTAGTTTAATACTTGTGCAGATATTACGTTTCTGGATCATTTCTCTCTCGAGTTCTCAAGCACTAGTAAAATGCTTCAATGTCTAGGTTGCAAATCCTGCTAAAGAATGTTTATTAATGAACAAACATGAAGGACCCTGTTTTTCACTAGAACTTTAAAAAAAATCCTGGCAACATTTCTGTAGGTGTTAAGTTTTGTAATTTATTTTTCTCAACTTTTTTCTTTTTGGTCTTACAGCTCCATTGTAAAAACTGGCCAGTTTCTTGATGAGCTGGTAGGGGGCACTAATGTGTGGATGCCAGAACTACTGTGGAGGAGACGCCCAATCATGAGTCTTGAGAGGAGCCAGTCCAGACTTGATTCTCTTCACTTGCCTGTCTATGGAACCCCTCTCATCCTCCAACACTTCTCTCCTCTCCTGCTGCTGCTTGGTCCCACCCAGCTCCCGAAGCCAAGAGTTCCTGAGAACAGGGAGGCATTGGCATATTGTTAGCATTGCATCTGAGCAGAGAAGCCAGGAAGGAAGTGGCTGATGGCTCAGGTAAGAAGCATGGATCTCTGTGTCTATTGCCGGGGAGGCAGAGGTGTCCAGAGCTTCTCAGGGTGGGTAGAAGAAAGTAAGAGAAGATTGGGGATCTGAGTGTGAGGAGGAGGGGAAAGCACTTTCTGTTGGGAAAAGTGCAGGAGTCTCCAAACCTATAGTGGGCCATAATTGTGAGAGTGGAAAGATGTTGCTTAAAGCCAAGTTTATTTTATAACCTTATTGAACTAAATCCTTAAATAGCATTTATTAAGTATCTGGTTAATTATCGAAGGTCCTTTCTTAAAGGAAGTGTGTAGTGTATAGTCTGCCTTATAGGGGTACTTACATTGCTTTAAAAAGGGAATATTTGCATCTACCAGTCATCTCTCATCTTAAAATTAGATTGCAAACTCTTTTGGGCATGAACTCATTCTTTGTTATGTTTGAACACTGTCTCGCATACTGGGGTAGACTAGAAGGCACATAATAATTGCCTTGCATGGATAATACTGCCTTTTGGGAGGGTCTTATCTTCTGAACTTATTGTTTTTGCTGCTATCATAGTGCATCTCTATTGATTTTTTTTTTTACTACAAAGATCGTGAAGATTTACTTGATGCACTTTAAAACAAAATTGTGGTTACTCTAGTCTACACAAGTGGAATAAAATTTAAAAAATGTATTTTAGAACGAACTTTCAAAAATGGCATCTATAATTGTGGTCACAACCAACTGCAGGTGAAAATGTCAAAATTTAAACTTCAAAATATCTGTTATCACCAATGAAATAGAAGGGGAAAATGTCATAGCACCTTCCCCAATGATCAATAGCAAGGATGTGCAAATAATCACTGTTAGATCTACAATTTTATTAAATATATTGATAAATTTGAACTAAAGCGCAGTTTGAGAATCAGTGGCAGATTTGTATTGATTCATTTTATGCTAATGAAGAATCTCTGAAACACAAACAACAAAACAGTTAACTGAAAGTTAAGTTATTAATGGTTTTATATATGCAAACCCTGGAATAAATTGTCTAAATAGGTTGTGGAATCTCCATCATTAGAGACTTCAAGAGCAGGTTAGATGAACAGCTGTCTGGGATAGTCTTGGTAACACTTAGTGCTGCTGTGATACATGATTGCACTAGATGACGAGGTCCCTTACAGTCTTACGATTCTACGATTATATTAATACTAGCATTAATCCCTCCATATCAGCATTTGCCAAGGTCAGAATCCATGTTGTAGTCTCAATTTTAGCCAATCTCTACTTTGTAAACAATATTGCTTTAGCACATCTAGGATCTTCAATGTAAGGTGACTATTGCAGCTATTGCTATAGGATTGCTATCCAGGCCTTAACAGATTGGTGGGGAAGTGAGTATGACACATGAGGGGGCACAAGGGGTCACATGCCCCAAATGCCATGATGGGAGGGGCCAGCCAGAAGCCAGTGGAGGGGGGGGGGGACTAG